CCAGTGAATGAGTGACCAAGCAAATGAGAAATGTTGAACACAGCCCACATGTTAGAGAACAATGACTTAACATCAAGTATCAAAATCAGAGACAGAGAAACTTATATAGCACTGAGTGTATACTGAGGACGATAATCACTGGAATATTTCAGTTGAACAGATGGCATAACGTTGTGAATAGCAGCACTATATGCCGTCCCATTATCAACAGCACTACTCAAGTTAGTGAGAAGTACACAACTGTATGTCCAAGAGCAATTAATGCAATATGAAAAAAAGTCGAAGGAATCTAATATTCGTACCTTTACATAACCCTTTGAGAAGATAGTTTTTCATGTGAAAGCACACTTTGTGCTGACAGAGCAACAATACATGTGTTTTGGATTTGGTGGTTTCATAGTCTTTGCACACTGTCAATAGCTGGTGTCTTCAGGTGCTATCCTTAAAAGGATGCAGCCAAAAAACGCTTCAAACACATCTAAAAAAAGAAGAAACAAAAAAAAATGCCAGCCAAGGGCTGTCTCACTGTATAGAATATACTAACCATGTTTATTGGGTCATGGCACATAACTTAGAGGGATTACTTTGGCACCTTGAAATGGATTTGTGTGTGGCTAAAAAAGCTATTTTTGTTAGATATCTAAAATATATTGATTGATCCTATTTTTCTAGCAAATATACAAACATTATCACTGACACATATTTGTAATGCAGTTCTTTTTGTACTGATGAAAAAAATCCATAGCAACCACAACAGAAGGAACACTAATCCTGTTGGTGCCACTTGGGGCTTGTTAAATTGCTCGGACACAATTTATTTTACAAGCTAGATTGCAGAGAGTTCTTGCCTACATGTACCCATAATGACAAACTCTATTGCACTGTCAAACCCATTCTTCTTGCTGCTCCAAACAGTTCCCACAGTTCCTTTTATCAATATGAACTTGGGGACATTAAAGAAGTATGGAAATATAAAAATGAAGAGAAACATGCATGTTTCTTACAGCTGCATTGTATTCTGTTCATTTAAATGGTTTAAAAAGAAAACTCATACATCGGTTGAATTTCATTTAATTGCTATCTCAGTTTTTGATGGAGAGATTAAAAAACAATGTGTGCCTATTTCGCCTGAGTAGTTACTACCCCTGTTTGATTCTTTGCCTTTCAAACTGAGGCATTTTACTGCAGTTAGTGGTTACTACTCATCCACAGTGAAAGGGTTGTTAGTTTAAACCAGCTTACTTTAGACCAGTAAAAATGTTATTGTGTGCGTGAGTATTTAAATGCAAAGGCCTGCATGCTGAAATAATTAAAGTAATAAAGAACACAGAACAATAAATTGGTCTCTGTCACGTAAAGAAAATGTTGTCTGCAAAGGAGTGGTTACCTGTCTAAGCTGTTACCTGTCAGATGGCTTAGGGTCAGCCCGTTAAAAAAAACTGATACATAAATACTGTTGTGAATTGGTGGTAGGGCAAAAATGAGCCTAGTATAGCATAAGAAAGGGAATTGGGGCAAATATTTTATTAAGCCACAAAAAAGAGAGCAATACACAGGGGCACAATATCTTCAGACTCCATTTACAATTAAGTAATTACTTGCAAAAAAATGTTGAGTCCAGCTGTGAACATTCACTCTGAGTCCCCCTGTCCAAGACTACTTTTGCCTTTAAGAAAGAAAGTTCTGCAGGAAAGAAAAGCATTCCCTCTTGATCTGAAAATTAAATCAATGTTAAAGTACTTCTTCAAAAACAAGCTCATTACTGGCAAGTAGGGATAATTATACCAGATGCAAAAAGGAGACAAATCGTGGCTAAAGAGAAAGAAAGAGAAAAAATAATTATAATTTTCCAGGTGATTGACAATAATCAAGTCTTCAAACTGATTTTCGCTCCAGTAGCTATTGAAGAAGAGTATTCTCTACTTATAAAAAAGTTGGTGATTTGATTCCTGGCATGACTGTGTGTCAAAGTATAATTGACAAAGACTGAGCACCATGTTGCCTGTGATGTATTGATTGGAGGGCGATAGATAAAAAACGCTAGGCAGCAGTGTTGTCAATTCATTGATAAGGGTATTATTGAAATAAATAATCCAAATGACATTTAGGGACTCTGTACATTTATTACACTTTCTAACACTTATTAAGTTAAAAAAGTATCACGCAGTGTGCTTTGTTACTCACACATCACTACCAATAGAAGTAATTTGGGGTAAATTGCTTTGTCCAAAGGCACCTCAACAAATAGAGAGGTTATGGACTTAACTAAGAACCCTATGATTTGCAATATTTCATTAAACTCTTTATCACATGGTCTATTCTTAATAATTTGAGAATGGTACCGAGAGATAATCCAAGTGATGCCCTTTTACAACATTCTTTCATATACAATATAGCTGAAAAGCACGTGTTTGATTTTTTATTTTAAGGAATTCTTAGATTACTTTTTTGAAAAAGAAACTAGAGAAATGCAAATGTTTATGTTTATGTCTTTATCTTTTAACCATTTGTTCCTTCTTATGTACCTGGAAATCCATTACATCCTCTTCCAGTACACGACTTCTAAATTGATCAGTTACAAAAGTTACTAAAAGTTTAGTTAACTCAGCTTGAGGTATATAAATCAACATGAGTATATCCATCCATTCATCCATTGTTGTAACCGCCTATTCCCTAATGGGGTCACGGGGGGACTGGAGTCTAACCCAGTAGTCAATGGGCGAGACATGGGATACCGCGTCCCTAACCCTAACCCAGTCCATTGCAGGTCCCATAAGTTTATCAACAGCAATAAACATTCCCCTCATATCCATGTATAAAAGATTTTCTTGAAGGTAGCACTTCAGTGACTGAGGCAGACTCCTGAGCCTACCATTTTAGCCCATTCAAATAAGTGTAAGGGAAAATGATTTTGATAAATGCACCATATAAATAAGTAAATAGCCTCATGCTCTCTTTCCCCCTTCGCTGCAATTTTGAGGATGACGAGCAGCTCTTAAATTTTGGCAGACGATATGTCGGACAGCTCTGGGTCCTCATGATTCCCCCTCTGTGTATGTCCTCACTTCATTCGACAGCCTTTACTACTTTCAGAAGACTTCTCACATCTGTCAAAACAGATCAATTGAGTTCAAACAGATGTCAGAGGGGCTAACTGAATTGCCAAAGGCCAGAGCATTCTTCCCTCTGATGCGTCACTATGTGTGTGTGTGTGTATGTCGCAGGCCAGTCATGCTGGCTTCTTTAGGGCCTACTGCTTTCAGCAGGGGGAAGGCATTTAAAAACCTAGGCCCCCTCTTCATCCCAACTGTCTACCTTTTCTCTAGCCATGTTGCTCTTCCCTGGCTTTTGTAGCTCTCTCATCCCCTCTAGTCACGCCTGCTTGTACTTTCTCAGGATATTCTTTCTTTTTTTTCCCCTTTTCTCTTCACATTACTTTTTTTCCTGTCTTTTTGTGATTTGTTCATTTATTAAACCCTCTCTCTGTCTTTTCCTTCTCTCATCATTTAAGTTAGCTTGATTTGCTATGTTTCATTTCATCAAGTGAGATCTTAGTTTCTCACAAACTCACAAACTTAGCGGCCAAAAGTTCATCTTCCTCATACACCACCTTACAGAACACATCTCATCACTCAGGTAGCCACGGCAACAGCAGCAGACAGTGCTCTAATGTGGAGAGAGACCCAACAGACACTTATACTGCAAAGGCTCAACTTCCAGAAGCTTGGCCTGGAAGTACCCAGGCATGCACACAAAGTGCAAACACATGCAGGCACGCAAGCAGACGCGTACCACATGGAAGAGATCTGTCATTCATTCACTCTGACATTTTGTTGTGAGCCGTTTTAATCCACAAATATGCACACCATCTATATTACCTTTCTAGAACATACAGCATTGATTTGGAAGCACACAAACAGGTCATTCTCCCACACAAGTACACAGATGTGTGCAAATGTAGCTTTCACACAAGGACCCCCTAAAGGCAAAAGAAAATAAATGGTGCTGTACAAGGCACAAGTGTTGGTTTACTGTACAAGCTGTTATTCATGAGAAAGCACGGAGTTCTAAATCATTTTTTTAAAAGGAAGGTCGATATATAATAATTGCTGAAACATCAATCCAAGGTCTTTGGAGGTTTGTGTGTTAGGGAAAGGACTTTACAGTGGGTTGGGCATCCTTTTGAGCAGTCAAGTGAAAAGTTGAAGATAAACCTGGAATAGAAATCACATCTGCTGATCTGTTTCACTCTTGTGTATTAACAGCATCTGAAATTCAAGATGCGACTTGCTACTCCGCATGGTCCTAAATTACCCCTTCCTGTCTCTATTATCCTCCTAAATATTATGGTAATTTGCACCCTGATAAAGGCTCATACAGGGAGCCTTAGTAAAAAATCTGGACCCCCTGAAAACATCACACTTGATCTCAAGAGCTGTAAATATTTGTAAGCCCTCTAAACCTTGTTCAGCTGTGGGGCCCCCTGAATCATCACATTGTCATCCACCCACCACTGACCCCCTAAATGAGTAACAGATATAATGAGAAGACATTTCTTCTGAAAGATCAAAATCAGTACATGTGCACCTCTAAAGATTGTTCAAGCTTGACTCAGAAACAATAATTGGCATTAAAATGGCAACTCACTACATAGAGATGAGACTTTCTTTTTTGTGTTAATTCATTCTTCAATCAGAAAATGTTAAAAAAATATATTCAAGGGCTTCATTTTATATTATATTGTTTGTTATCATTTGTTTTGTTTTTTTAAAACATACTAGGAACCAGTTAAAAACACATAAGTAAATTGATTAATTGTATTGGGGATGAAAGGCGGCATAGCCCTTAATTACGCAATGACCTAAGATGCTCGATCGTCTTTTTTTCATCCATCATTAGTCTTTGAATTGGCAGCTCTTTTCATTTCCTGACCCAGCCCCTAGCCGAAGTGGAGCCACAGGTTGATAACATCTATGCACGTGTAATTCCCTCGAGCTTACCTGTGTCTGCTCGCGGCTCTCTGACCCGCCTGGACACTGGACTCCGCATATCCGAGACCCGCGCAGAGCCGGCTCAGGGCGAGGACAAGCAAGTAAAAAAAAGTCTCCATCATTAAAGTCCACCGTGGATTGAAAACGACCGTCATTTAAAGTCCAAAGTATACCCGAGTGAAATGCGCTCAGCTGTTTTTATTTTATTTTTTACATCGCCATGGCTTTAAATCCCGAGAAGGTAGTGTCCACCCTGTAGTGTCCAGTTAAGGGCATACACAGACGGTAGTAGTGAAGACTGACTGCTTCTGTTGAGCGGAGAAACGAGAAGAAAGTTTCCTGTCAGACCTCCAAGAAGTCGTGCCAACTAAGGGTCTCTCTCTCTGTCGCTCTCTCTCTCTCTCTTTACCCCCCCTCTCTCTCTCTGGTGTGCGTGTGTGCGCCCACTCCCCTCTCTCCTTTCCTTTTACGCGCACTATTTGGCTTTTCTGTTTCGCTTCTGTGTTCAACAGAAGCCGCACGATTGGCAGAGCAGTACTTTTTCTATGCTGCCAAGACACCCTACATCTGAGTAACGTTTTTAAAGAAATCTTACAAGTCTTAAGCTCTTTGAAGCAGGTGGTAGTCTGCGCAGCAAAGGCAAAGGAAAACATTCATGACGCAAAATGACATACCTGGAATATTTGGTTCAATTGCGCCCACTGTGATGGAACGTTTTAGAGCTGAAAATGTCGAAATGGCAGCTGAAAAGGTTCATATAAATGGTTTAAAAAATAATTTAAGATATGTTTTGAGATATTTTCCATTTGTTTATTTCTTAAAATACTTTAAAGTAAACTGCCTTTATCCATCTAAAGCAAAGTGAATTATAAAATACCTAAAACTTTCAAACAGACAAAAAGCCTACATATCTTAAAGTTACATTGTTTTACTGAACCTGGATGTTAAGTGCTTAGCAGTGGAAAACTGCACATCAAACTTTAAGAGGCACATCCACATTTGGTACTAAAGCTGCAGCACCAGTGCTGAAACTTCGGTGGGTTACATTGGGAAGCTGGTGACTCAACAGAAGCTACTACTCTGAGAGAAATTAACTGAGACGTTGTTGGCTGCTAGAGGTGCAAAGGTTAAATCTTTCCATAGTTAAAAAATTCCCATCACAAAATAGTTTTTTTCTGTTCTTTTCTAAACACCATGATCAATAAATCATGTAAACTTTGGTCCATGGCTGTCATTTCTTGTAAAGTGGGTCAGCCAGAAAACTGGCCATTATCTGTGAAATGTAAAGACAGCATGGTCACAGGTAGATATGCTCCAATAAATTGTGCATAAAGGGCGATTCATTTAGTCACTAATAGTTTTACAAATGATATTTCTCAGCATGTAACCAGTTCTTTAAATGATAATGTTTAGTAAATATTTCAACCGAATTTTATATCAGATTTAATTTTAAAAGTAATGCACAACACTGCTATGCAGTAGCCACTCTCTGACCCCAAGAGATATTAATGGTTATTTCATTATTAAATGTCATAACCGTCTTAAACGTAGTATTCTAAACAATGTGTAAAACAATAACCACTGGTTGTTTGGTCAGTCAGATAAATACAGCTAAAATCAGCAGATGATACAGCACATCTTAGATCTAAACAATTGTGTGGATCCAATAATAACAAGAGCTTTTCCAACTATTTATATTATGCTGACAGCACAAGTTAAATATAGGTGGCATTTATCATGAAGCAATTGAGTGGTAACAGAATCAGTGGAAGGAAATGATAACTTGGAATTCAAAAGTTTGAGCATGATATGACAGCTGTTTTTTGTTAGTTTGTTTTCCTCATACTTATTTTCTAATCTGTATATTGATTTAAATTTAATTTGTTTTTTTACCTAGTTTTGTCTGTGTTTTACCTGGAATTGGTTCCACCTCTGCAATACTTTCTTGCTCCATCCATCAAGTTGAATTTCATTCAGACCGTATTGTTTACCTGACAGTACAAATCACAAAAGTTTTTTTGTCTATGAACTCGGTCTATTTCATATGGCACCTGTATTTTTGAACGGCTGTACTTCTCATTATCATGATCAAATTCTTTGAACAGTCGATATCTTGTCTCCTGGCAAGTTTTTAAATGTGCCCATGTGATATACAATAGGGAGTCGGCACAGGGTATCAGGCTTTAAAACTGACCAGAGTCTAAATGGAGTTGCCTTGTGTGACTTCCTGTCTGACAGTCTTGTCCGAGTTGTTTAACTTGACTTACAGTAAGTCTCACAGAGTCATGATTTAGGTGTGTGAATAGAAAAGTATTTTCCACTATTTTAATACTGGCAAACCTATCTTAAAAAATGCAAATATACAACTGAAATCTCCCATTTTAGTGCCTCCCTCTTCCAACTTACATTCAATCTTCACACAATCATCCTGTCTGCCCTGTTTCCGTTTTCATCTGTATAGGAGATGCTAATCTGAAAAGTGGATGACACAAACACACACTTATGCAGACATTGCAAATAGTAGCAACTTCTTATCTGCCCGATAAGAAGTCTGTTAGCAAGGTGTGATTGATGCTGCTGTACTCGCAGAGCCACGAGAGACTTCATGCCATGATTCATGCTGCACTTCTTTTCCCTTCTGCTTTTTTTCCCCAGTCATGATCTGTATCCAAATACACTACATGTCAAAAAGTTAAAAATAGTCAGCTACAGTCTCAGTAGTTCTTCTCTGTGAAACATGCATCCAGTCGTATTTAATATTCCACATTGTTCCATTTAATTTTGAAAACACATTTACTAAACTCCAAATGTTGATTCTATGTAAATCACAAGATTGCATGCAGGCGAAAAGATTTTCTAATGCTTGTTTTTCTTGTGTCCAAACCTTTAAGAATGTTTATTGCAGGTTGTTTTACTTCCGTGTGTGTGTTCTTTTGTTCCGTTGATGAACTGTAACATTTTTACTTGCTGGAAGCTTTGCATCTCTTCTACAGAGGAATGCCCAGCTCAGCAATACTCCTAGCGGTCCACTAATAAGATCAGCTCTCCCAGCTGCTCTGTGACAGGCTCTGCAACTCCCCACTTAGAGCAGAACCAGGCTTATTAACTCAAACCAAAACACAGACACTGCTAGTGTTCCATGATGTTAAAAAGATATTTGGTTACTTTATGTTAATTCCAGAGCTTTTGATACCTCAGGACATAACTGAAACAACATATGTTACCGTCAAGTTTGCATCCAACTCTGGTGTAGAGAGGTCAGACTGTGGTAAAGTGATTTATTTGATAAGTTAGTGTCTCATCATCCTCCATGTACTCAATTTTTAAAAGTCAACACATCAAAATCACAGAAAGTTCACCACAGCTCAGTAGAGGTGGAACGTTTAGGATATTTCTCATTAAAAAGGGGGCAATATTTGAATCAAACCCAGAGATGGTTAAATCTGTTTGGTGAGAGGAGGCCAACTGTACTTTTCTCAATGGCTGATTAGAAGCAGACTGAGGCTGCAACACAACTACTGTACCTTTCAAATGGCATTTGGCTGGTGCGAGATACTGACCAGGCTGCTGCTTGAGTGATAAGACTGAGAATACATGAGGGGGCCTCACAAACCACGTGATACATGACACAAACCAGATATAAGAACAATCTGAACCATAACTCGAATTTACCTGAAAGGAAGGGTTAAGGCTTGGAAGAAGAATGGTGTTCATCGTGTTAGAATACAAAATGTATTGCCAACATTCCCTAACTCTTAGCTGTAAATCTTATAAAAGCAGTTCACCCAGACAGTAACATGTAAACGTAAACAACCCTGTTAGATTTTTAGTCTAACTCCTCTCTTACATTAATTTCTTCACCAAATCCAAACCTGTCTGATATTAATCAGTAACTTTTGTAAAAGATAAGATATTTTCAACAAATTATCTTCAGCACTCTTAAAACAAACTTGTTTGTGCTCAACGTGTTGTGCAAATCAACGCAAAGACAGTAGATCTGTTCAATATGATTCTCTAATTATTCAGTCGTTAATTAGCCAAACTGATATGAACAGTTTCCAAACCCAGTGTCATCTCCACATCTGTGCATTAAGAAGAATAAAAATATCAGCGAGAAAAACAAGCTCCTATGCTTTTCGCAGACTATCTTCTCCCCAGATAGCATGCAGTAAGGTTTTTTTAAACATAATGTAGCATGTGAGAATATGCCAAGTCATGCTGGTAGAAATACTGCATATGAAGTGTAGGAAATGTTTACGTGTGGATGTGGGGTCTATTTAATAATACATGGACAAGCTAAGTAGTTTTGAGTTGTGGCCAAAACCAACTGAAGGTATAAGCCAGAAGTGGCAAAAGTCAAATGTAAGCAAACATCAAATAGCGTTGACATGAGTGATAGCTATACATTGTAAAAAGAATGTATTTCAGATGTGACAACAATCCTTCCCTTACCCTAGCCCAACCTGGAAGTTCAAAAGTAACAGAATAAGAGAAAAACTTCATATTCATCAGCTGCAACCCACCACTTTGCATGTATAATCATAAAAAAAACAAAGACAAGATAGCTGAAACAGAGTTATTACAAAAGTGAAAACAAAAGTGTTTCTTGTCCTAGGTAAATAAGATATATTTTGTGAGCCAGATGAAAAATTGCTAATATAAGATGTGGAACAGAGAGACAGAACAGGAGTAATGTCCAAGAGTGAGATATCCTACAAGTCCAATACAAATTTAGGCAACTCAGCTGATCCACTCCAGGGTAAAATAGGCAAGTTTCAGTATACTTTTGATGTAAATAAAGATAGCTCTTTCTTTGCCCTTTAAGTTGCTGTTAGCTGTCAGATACCTTTCTAATGTTTATCGAGCACAATGTTCACAATGTCCCCTGTATAAGCTTTTAAATGTTAATATACTACCACTTTCAGTTAATACAGAAATACACTTGATAAAGCCACTTGGAGAACTAGTGAATAACAAAAGGGATATGCAAGAGCTTCATTTTCATTTCATCTCAGAAATTATCCACACAGCCTGACCTTCATCTACCCCCAAAACTGC